CAGTCCGGCATTTTATCAAGGTGTTGTTTGTGTTGTAAGATGGTCTGGAAGGATATCAGTACAAGGTCACTCCCATATTTGACCTTGTGGACCCTGGGAAACAAAGAGTTGACTCCATTTGCCATCAATCCTAGCCAGTATGACCTATGGTCAGGGTTGATGGGAATTGTAGTCCAACACATAAAGCCATAAAATTTCCCATTCTGGGGGAATTGGGACTAGAGTGATATTTTTCCCCCATCCACTTTTTCCTAAACCATTTCCATGTGCCCAATTGTTTTTCAGAAATTCAGCAGCTCTTTCCACTTGACACGTGGGCTAAATAAAGATTTATGTATGCATATGGTGAAGCACTACTTAATAGATCTCTCTTAAATAATCTACACTGTCTAAATACATTGTGCATGGAAAATGTCAAGTGATTTGGATCATGCATCTGCCAAGGACAGAAGCTTCAAAAAAGAAACAGGAAAAAAAATAAAGTACTACATTTTGAGAAACAAATGGAAGAGCACCTTTATTTCCCCATATATTTCAGCTCCCCCCCCCCTTTATTGCTCTTCAGTCGTGACTTGGAAATGATCAGTAGGGATTCAACCTTTTCTTTAACATTCAAAATTCAGCTTCATCAAATAGATTCTGACCAATAAACATATTTTGGTGGTCTTTGTGTTGAACAGTTGTCAAATCTGTGCTCCTAAACAACATTTAAAGCGACACTTTTATTAAGTTGGCATGGGACACATTGCTGAATCCCTTTTAATATGATAATGCTTGCAGTTTACAGTGCTGTTAAGTGTGGCTTGGCAGTTGAGTTTGCATGAATATTTCATCTGCTAAAGGCCATGCGCCCGTAATTATAAATAGACCTTCAGCAATAGGAGTCAGACAACTCCTGTGCCAACAATTTTCCAAGCTACTGATAAACTGGTGAAAAACCAAAAAACTGTCTTTTCCAGCTGGCCAGAGACATCTGGCCTCACCTGGACAACTGCATCCAGTTCTAGGTGCCTCATTTTAGGAAGGATATGATAGCCTTTGGCTGAAGAGCGGGGTATAAATACTTCATATTATCATTATTATTATTATATAAACACATTGGTGAAGGTTCAGAGAAAGGCCAGAGGGATGATAAGAGATATGGAGAACAAAACATATGGAGAAAGGTTGAAAGAATGGGACATGTTCAGTTTGGTGA